CTCCATTCACCTCGCAGCGAATCAGGTGCCAGCAAGCATCCTCGCAACGAAAGAATTCACCAATCACCTTGAGGTACTGTCAGAAATGTTGTCCGGGTAGAAAACTGAGTCCGAGGAGCCATGCGGAGTGAAAAATAGTTCTGGAAAGTAGCAGTTGAAACGAGTTCACACCCTAGAGGATAAGATGAGCCTTTTACCTCGCACCGCTGAGGAGTTCAGCTCTGCAGAGTACTGGGAGAGGTTCTTCAAGAAGCGAGGGGAAAGAGCTTTTGAGTGGTACGGAGACTACAACAAGCTGTGCGGCGTTCTTCACAAATATATCAAAGTGCAGGATAAGGTGGGAGAAACAGTATCCTGCCACAGTTTAAAACTTTTATAAACCCATGACTGCAGAACACAAGCCTTTTATTTACAGCTCTTCATGTCGCTGCGTTCCTCCCTGTAGGTGCTGGTCGTCGGCTGTGGTAACTCTGAGCTGAGTGAGCAGCTGTATGATGTTGGCTACAAACACCTGACAAACATAGACATCAGCGAGACCGTAGTGGCTCACATGAACCAGCGAAATGCGGAGCGCAGACCCGACCTGACCTTCCATCAGGTGGATGCCACCCAGACTCCCTATGAGGATGCCAGCTTCCAGGCCGCTCTGGACAAAGGCACTCTGGATGCAATGGCATCTGAAGAGGAAGGAGCTCTGGCCAGGAGGATGATCACCGAGGTAAGACGGCAGCAGATGCAGCACCAGACAAATTAACAATAAGATTCACGTTTTTGTCCACCCGTCATTGTGTGCTCGCAGGTTGGTCGGGTCCTCAAAGTCGGTGGGCGGTATGTGTGTGTGACTCTGGCTCAGGAAGCTGTGATCAAGCTGGCTGTGGAGCACTTTGTCCACATGGGCTGGGCGGTCAGGCTTCACTGCCTGCAGGAAGAAAGAGGGAAAGAAGAAGAAGACACCTTCGCTCTACCTGTTTTTGTCCTCGTCTGCACCAAGTTCCGCCAACCCATGCCTACTCCCATTCTAGAGATGTGTGTCGGAGATGATGGAGCGCCTGTCAGACACACACAGGTGTGTGAGCTTTTGTCTGCCGTGAGGGAGTATCAGGCTTATTCTGTTCTGAGGAAGAGGCTTCGTACAAGCACAGACCCTGGTTCGAGTCTTTCCCTAACGCTCTGTAACGCCAAGACGGGTCTTCCCAGATACACTCTCACAGTGCAAGATTGTCCACCTGGAGCTAAAGTGCCAAGATCAAACCAGTTTGCTATATTTATAGGTGAGCTCTTCATGTCTCATTCACATTGTTTTGTTTGTTCTTACATTGATTCCAGTTGCCTGACTGTTTTGTTTTGACAGTACCCAGAGGGAGTGAGACGGCTTGGCTTTATAGCTCCACTGAGGGCAGGAGGCAGCTGGCTGCCAGCGCCAATTTTCGTCGCCTGCTTATTGCTTCGATGCACAGGAATCAGGAGTACACAGACATGCAAGCAGTCCAATCAGAGCTCTCACCGGTGGTGATGGACTTGGCTCCACCGGGTATGCCAACCAACCAGCAGGTAAACACGCAAGTATTCTGCCGCTTAAGTGTTTTTTTTTTTTTCTGCATTTTGTCACTATCCAACCACAAATTTCAAAGATTTTATTTGATAGATCAACACAAAGCAGTATGTAATAAAAAAAAAAAGAATGGAATGCATTTGTATCTATCCCTCATGAGTTTGTAGAGTCACCATTTTTTGGGGTACGTCTCAATTAGCTTTGGGCTTGTAGATTGAACGGTTTCCCCATGATTGTTTGCAAAATAGCTCAGACTTTTTCAGACTGGATGGAGAAGAACATGTCAGAAAATCAACTTTCAAGTCTTTCACAGCCTCAAGTTTTTCTGCCACACATAATGTTTATGTATGTACAATAAAAACAAGTCAAAAAGTCAAAGGTTGGTCTCACTTGACCAGAGCGCCTTCCCCTACATTCGGATGTTGGTTTCTAAAACCACCTTCTACAAAAATGAGCTTGTCGCGGCTCTAGAAAAGCTCGTCCGGTAATCCATTTGGACTCTTGTTCCTCATTCAGGTGCCGTTTCTGTCAGTGGGAGGGGATCTCGGTTGGCGAGAAGAAGTCAGCAGGGGAGTGAGTCAGCTCAGTGGGGAGTACTGCGTGGAGAACGTCAGAGGAGAAGATGGAGAGCTGTATCGCAGGCTCGTGTTCCTGTCCAACATTTCCTTGGTTCAGTCAGAGAGCCGACTCATCCCATCAGGTACTGGTCATTCCTTTTTATTTTGCGTTTTAGATTTTTCTTTACTGTACTGCATTAAAAAAAAATAACAATTTTAACTAATGGAGCATTTAAGCAGGATCAACACATATGCAGTGCGTTGTTAAACATTTAGTGTGACATTTTCCTGAAAGGACGAGTTCATTCAACATATACTTTTCAATAACCCTTTCTCTGATTTGCTTGGAATGTCCTTTTGTCTTCATGCTATAATGGTAGCCAGCAATACTGATCAGTGAATGATTGTGCTGTTGTTGAGGTCAAAAGTGAATCTACTAAATACTGATGGAAGGCGGCGAATGTTTAAGCAATCACTTATTTTATGCTACATATTTTTTATTTAACTGTCATTTATGTTGTAGAAATTAGTTTTCACTTTGACATTAAAGGTTTTATTTTAATATAATGAAATGGAGAGCAATGATATGAATAAATTAAATGGATGAAAATTTGTATCTCGGCAGCATCAAGTCACAAGAAGAAGAACAAAAAGAAGACCAAGGCAGCACTTACACCTTCAGCCTGTCTGTCAGTGGACAGCGGCTTCCTGTGCTGCGCTCACCACGAGGTGATGGTGGCTGGTCTTTCTATGCTTGGCGTGGGGACCCCACAGAACAAAGGTGTGTGTGTCTGTGCAGACCCGACATTTTTGGATGTACCACAACCTCTGCATAAGTTAGCATTTGATTCATCTTTTACAAACGTTTTCCGACCGTCTTCCTTCCTAGACGTTCCGGTTTCGGTGCTCCTGGTGGGCCTCGGCGGAGGAGGCCTGCCTCAGTTCCTCCGAGACTTTGTGCCTGATGCTGCCGTCGAGGTAGTGGAATTAGACCCGGTCGTGCTGGAGGTGGCAAAGGAATGGTTCGGATTCCGACCCGACGATCGTTTGACCGTCACCCTTGGCGATGGCCTGGAGCGCATCTGTTTCCTGGAGAAAGAAGGTCGGCGTGGACATAAGGAGTCAGGAACGTTGACAGAAAAAAAAATCAACAAACTCACATCTGACTCTGTTTTTCCTTTTTTTTTGTCTTTGTAGGTGGCCATTTGTTTGATATCATCATGTTTGATGTAGACAACAAAGACAGTTCTGTGGGGATGAGCTGCCCTCCTGCTGCCTTTGTAGAAACTGCTGTTCTGCAGAAAGTTTTTAACTTGCTCACTCCTAGAGGTAAACAAGGGTTCGATTTTACTTCATATATATTCCTGCAAAAAAAAAAACTTAGAATATTCTGCAGTAGTCTTGAGATTGAAGTGGAGGTACACATCTAGCAAAAAGGTACAACAGCACGGTTTTGATCAAACCTAGACCCTTCTCAAAGTCTTGACCTACTTGCAAAAGACCTCTGATGAGACTTGGAAGTTGCTAATTTCAGACACACACTATTCAGTCTATATGTGATTGAACTCTTTTGTAAAGAAGAATGACTTCAGTTTCTAGATGTACAAAGCTGATAAAAAGTTTTGACTCAGGGTTAATTACATATGCATGCCACATTTCAGATTTATATTTATGAAAAAAAAAACATTGAAAACCTTCATCACTCTCCTTCCATTTAAATTGACTTCAGTATGCAGCACTTTGTGTTGATCTGTCACATAAAATCCCGATAAAATACACTAAAGTTTATAGTTGCAACATGACAAAATGTGGAAAAGTTCAAGGATTAATAAAATTATTGCAAGCCACTGAACCCCAAACATGCTTCATTGTAGCTTTTAATGCCGGAGTGATTTAAGATGTGTGTCAGTGTCTTAACATATGTTTTGGGATTATGTTATAATTCTGGAATGCAGATGTAGAGGAATCAAGTGTGTGTGCGTGTGTGTGTGTTTGGGAAGTGGGAAGACAAGACCAAACATGAAATAACTTGGGATCAGGTATCCAAAAGAAATCTGAAAGTAAATGCAAGACTTTTGTGTTCATTTGAGTATTTTAAACGTTACCGTTTCTTTCTACACACATTCCCAACTTATTTAGATTTAAGGCTGTTCAAACAGAAATATAGTTTTTCATTTGTTTGTAATACCATCCTTTTGAATCTTTTGCTGCCAGGTATGTTCATATTAAACCTCGTGTGCCGCGATCCAGTCCTGAGGAAAGACGTGCTCGAGCGTGTCAAGAGCGTGTTTCCCACTGTGCTCTCTCGAAAGATCGCCGAGGAGATCAACGAGGTCCTCCTGTGCTCCCGAGAAGAAAGGAATGCCGCGCACATCCTTCCATCCTTGAGCCAAGCAGCCAAGAATTTCCAGAGCATGTTGTCCTGTGACAGAACTGAACCCAAACGAAGGCCACTCATAGACATTGCAGAGATGATAAAAGATCTAAAACTAGAGTAACTTTTTAAGCACAGATTTAGACTGAGGGAAAAAAAAAAACTGAACATGCATTTGTAATGTATCATTAATAAATATCAGGCACATTTTTTCTTTCACTTGCCTCTGGTTTCTCTTTCACTGTGCACACTCCCTCACAGGCTAAGAATGCAGCAGCGTTATTTACAGTGGATGAACTACACACTCTGGCTCTGGTTGCTGTGTTCATAGGGCTGCAGTTTGTGCCCTACCCTACTCTAGACCTGTGGGAGTTTAAATAGCTGCAACCCCAGAGCAGTGATTGCATTTTTAGGTGTTAGCTAATTGGCTACAAAGTTTGTCTGTCTTCTTATTTCGGGGGAGGTGGGAGGGGGTCAGAGGAAGGGCTGCTCAGGGGAGGCAGATTTGTTCGCTTGTGCGCATGCGCAGAAAACTTCATTCCGTTAGCTGTCAAAGCAGAACGTTCCTACTTTGTTTTCCATGGAGCTAACTTAGGGAAGAGGGGGAACTACGGAAACTTGTCCAGAGTTTTGAGGAGAGGAAACACTACACATTTTTTTAAAGTTTGAGTGAAGAAACATGTCTTTAGCGAACTTTATAGGGAATATTCTTTCTTTGACAACGACAAGGACCGACGTTACTTTCTTTACTCTGAAGTGCTAACGGCTGGTCCTGCCTTGGAAAAAGCAGCAGCAGCCCTGTTCGTGTGTACTATGCTTTAAGTTTTTATGTTTTCACTTCATAAAGACTTTATAACCCCGAGTAACATTAAAATATGGTAGTTTCGCTGTCGAGTGGCGTTGACTAGAAAGGGGAGGAAAACAGGAAAGTTAGGGCTGGACAGGTAGCAGCCCTCGTTGCGATGGGCAACCGTGGGATGGAGGACCTGATCCCGCTGGTCAACCGGCTCCAGGAAGCTCTGAGCACCGTGGGACAGAGCTGCAGCCTCCACCTGCCGCAGATCGCCGTGGTGGGCGGCCAGAGCGCGGGTAAGAGCTCCGTGCTGGAAAACTTTGTTGGCAGGTAAGATCATCATCACTCAACTGTTAACAGAAAAAAAAAAAAAAAAAACCTTTGTGCGTGAATCACTCCACGTGGAGTTTCACTATCTGCAGGGGCGCATCCAGAATGAAGGGGGAATCTCGGAGTGACTAAAACAAAAAGCCAAAACAGAACTTCAGGTTTATGTATTCGTATGTTCTGTTGGAAATTTAAAACCTTTACATTTTAAACAACCTAATAATTTGTATACTGTGTTTATTAGTAACAACACACCAAAAAAAATCAGCTGATTTGGTGTGTTGTTTTGATATGTTAGGACATTTTTTAAATTCCTGCAAAAAGTTGTCAATTATGCTAAATTACTGTTCCTATTACATGAATATCTATATTCACAGAAGAATGTTATTCCTCTCCCTAAAAGCCATGCATTAAAATATTAGGAGCGGAGGTACTAACATCATAAGGTGTCCATTCCTGACCACCTCTTGGTTGTCCCACTGCATAAGCTTGAAAATGTGGAAAAGTGCACAGGTGGGGTTAGTTTTTCAGCCAAAGTTATTCATCACATCCTTATGTTTGGGATTTATTTATGCTTATCTAATAATATGCTGTAAGAAATTTGACATGTATTATAGTTAGTTAACTGATGTTTTTATTGACGTAAAGCCATACAGAGAAGAAACTCTGCCACTTTAGAAAAATTATGAATTACCATTTCTTGGTAGAACTTGGAGGAAGACCGAAAAGACAAAGGATAAATGCTATGCCTTACACAATCTAGTATTGCTGGTTCTAACCTGAATCGTACGCCTGCCTCACACACATTTGCACCAAAAAAAAACAACCACATTTATATGTCCATTATCTATACCAGTTGCATTTGCAAGGTGCCGGGACACAGTGGAAGAAAACTGGAGTATCTGGTAAAAACTCAAATGCATGTGGAGAACATTCAGTCTCTATAGAGAAAGGGCGCAGGCGAAGATTCAAAATTGGAACCTCCTTGCTGCAAAGCGTACGTTCTAACAACTGTTCCACCAACACATTTTATTATGTATCATGCCAGAAACATTGAAAAAAAAAAAAAAATCTGAATTCCCCTTTTCCAAATATATTGCTTTCAATATAAGCCTTCTCAGTAATATAAAGTGGCAAACAATGCCATAAGAGGCATTCAAATTCTCTTTGGTATTTCCAAAAAAAGAAATATTTAGGGGGTAGGAGTTTATAAGTTCTCACTTCTTCCTACCCCATTTTGAGCATGATATGTTAACTGAAACAAAAAATCTGTATTTTCTCTTCTTTTTTATGCACTTCTTGTTACTGTGCACTATTTTATTTTTATATTTGTATCATGTTCGAATAAAATTTCATTTCATTTCAATATTTTGTAAATCTCAAATTGTGTTTGAAAAACCTTTGCTCAGTGTGAAGTAATTTTGACATCTTACTCGTCTAAATATGCAAGATGCTGAATTAGAGATGGTAAAATGTCTGTGCTATCTAAACAGTGCTTCAGTTTCCAAATCATATACCAACTTCAGTAACATATGCCAACAGCAATATTTCCTCCACTGTGCGCAGCATAGGTGGTGCCTGCTTCCTATTGACTGGACATGCAAGTAGGAAATAGAAAGCTATTTCTGGGCTTAACTGTGTTAAAGCCATACCACCAATATTAAAAAGCACCACTGCTACATTTTATTAAATACTTCTGAACGGCAATAATTTAATGCTCTTAATTTACAGCATAAACAGAAGTGTAGGGAGTGATGAGGAATAGAAAAGGTCTAATGAATATGATCTAAGCTTCTGCCTAATTTGTAGCTATTTAGTTTAGATTTTTCTGCTCTCTGTTTTAAAAGTGTCTCACTCTGAATATTTTCTTTTTATTTAGAGAAGTTCATGACTTGTGGGAAGGATGGACATTTATTAGCTGGTGTTTGAGTCGTCACCCTTTTGTGGGTCAATTTATCAGCAATTTGTCCTTCAAAAATCTGTATGTTTGTTGTTATTGATCACTCTCAGAACTATTTCTGGATCTTTATTAATTTGTCTTCTATTCCTTTAATCTTCTATCCAAAAAAAAAAAAAAATCAAATCTATTGATACTACAAGTCTTACATGCATAAATTTGTAAAGTACTGTGGGGTGATTTATTTGGTCTAAAGTAAAACAATAAGGGCCTCTCGGCGACCAAGTGAAACGGATATTTCAGGCATTTCCCAGTGTTTGTGGGTTCTACATCATGGAGTCCGACAGAGCGTCCTGGACATGTTTGCCAGTGTGAAGTGGTGGATGCCAGGCGTGGCATTGTGACGGCACTCAGAGCAGCAGTTTATCTCACACGCAGGCTTTGTTGAAGGCGGTAATGAGGACTGAGGTCAACGTGACTCCTGGAGCACAATCGTAGTCAGCTTACAAGTTATTCATATGAGTAAAAACGGCCCGAGCAAAGCCTTATTTTGTCCCATCTTCCCTAGACGGACGAAAGATTTCATGGTTTTAAAAATACTCCTGCTCTCTTGGTGAATAGCGTGGTTGTTTGAATAGGTTACAAAGCAAACTGAAGCAGCAGTTGTGATGAACACACCAGTTCCCATCTGTGTCCATGTTGATATTTTAGCCCTGTTTTGCAGGCCTTTGTTTCAGGATTGTGTTATGACAATCCTTTCTGTAGTGGACCTCAGAAGCTGTCTGACCGGCAACAGGATGTAGTAAAACAAACTTCCTGAATAGGATTTTAATAGGAAAGGGGAGGGTTATTTTGCCCCCTCTGCGTCACTTTCATCAAGTAATAATCTGTACGTTTGGTGAAAACCATTTTTGTGGTCTCTGTCATCAAGTTTGTCCTGCCAGTGCTATGTAAATTGTATGACGCTTTGTATTAGGAAATCATGATATCATCATAGCAGTTATTGTCACAGCTTGGTTTGTTCCAAATAGAATTAAAACCATGTTTCTGAAACTACTTCTTGCCTGTTGTCTGTCTGCGTGTGTGCGCGTGTGTGTATGTGTGGGTGTGTCTGCCTTTTTTATTTTTTTTTTTTTCAAAATCGGTCTTCCTTATTATATAACAGAGACTTCCTTCCACGGGGTTCAGGAATTGTCACACGGAGACCGCTGATCCTTCAGCTCCTAAACTCAAGCGCAGGTAAACATCACAGATGCAGTTCATGTGTCACTCCCTAGTACGTCCTCCCTGTTACCACTAGATGGCAGTACATGTTATACCTTAAAAGGCTGGAGTTGTGTTAAACACTCCTTTGCTTTTTCTCGTTTAATAAAATGCTTCCAAATAGAAGTAGAATTGCTTTAGCACTGTGTTGGTGATGACGAGAGTCAAGCAGACATCTACTGATGGCGTCGCGCTTGTTTCACTGATGTTTCTTTTGCTTACTGTGTGTCCTTCAAGAATACGGGGAATTCTTCCACTGCAAGGGAAGGAAGTTCACAGATTTCGGTGATATCCGCAGGGAAATTGAGTCGGAGACACGCAGACTCACAGGATCAAATAAAGGCATCTCTCCTGTCCCCATCACCCTCAAGATTTACTCACCTCATGGTAACGCAGTTTGTCTTTCCTGTGTTTCTCAGTTCCTGTCCACTAGATACCATATATCTGGTATATCTGGTATAGCTGTGACCTGTGTGTGTTTATTTCTGTGCTTAAAGTGCTGAACCTGACTCTCGTGGACTTGCCCGGCATCACCAAAGTACCTGTGGGAGACCAGCCAGCAGACATAGAGTACCAGATACGAGACATAATCATGCAGTACATCTGTAAGGAAAACTGTCTTATTCTGGCTGTCACGCCCGCTAACACTGACCTGGCCAACTCAGATGCACTTAAGCTGGCCAAAGACGTCGACCCGCAAGGTAACTTGCATCTATCTGGGGGATGACTGGCAGATTTTTGACTCATTAAGTTCTTGTTTTCGATTGGAAACTCTCAATTGTGTTTACATATCCCCAGCAAATGGAGTATCAGAAATGATGTTGACCAATGAAAGTGTTAAAGATTCCCCTACTGACAAACACTGGTTAACCAAGCTCAGCTGATTAGTAGCCAGTATAGATGAAAAGCCTACACTGGACAGTGAAATAACTTGAAACTGACAAAAAGGAATTTGTTGAAACAGAATCATAAAAAAAAATAATGAGACAGGCCTGGACATTATGGAATCTTGAGCAAAACACTTAAAGTCAATACGATTGATAGTAAAAAACTAGGACTGAGGCAGTAAGCCATTTAAAGCTTTATTGCAGAGGCTGCCTTTGTGGAATAGCTTTGCTGCTGATTTATTCTTACAGATGGAACAGGAAAGCTAGTTTCAGAGATATATGTGCAATAGGGAATCTTAGTGGAAAAATACAACAATAATTGTACATTATGAATCATTATATTATGTTTCTAATATTATGTTAAGTGTGTGTAACTGTTTTTGTGATAAATGTATTTTTTTTTGATGCTGTAGACCCTGGGAAGAGTAGCCATTGTTACAGCAATGGCTAATGGGGATTCACATAAACAAACAAACCATGAAACTGTGTGAAAACAAATTAGCATATCTTAGAAGAATATGCTCCTGATTAATAAAAAATATATATATATTGGCCAAAGTTTAAAAATGTATTTGAAAGCTGATATAACATTGATATTATATATTGTAAAAAATAAATAAATATAGTTTTTTGTTTTACCTCGCCTTAGGTCAGCGGACAATTGGTGTAATCACAAAGCTGGATCTGATGGATAAAGGAACTGATGCTAAGGAAATACTAGAAAACCGGTTGCTCCCCTTACGCAGAGGTTTGTTGACAAAAAGAAATGATCTTTTATTTTTGAATAATTTGTCACACTTCCAGTTTTAGCCACTTTTTTTATTATTATAACTGAAATAGTGTGTAGATCATGCCTACACGCATACATTTGTACTTTGTAACAATCTACGTTGCTGTTGAGTGGTTAGGGGTGAGAAATGTGGACAATGTAGACTGCAGGCGTTTTGAGTGTGTGAGGGAGAGAGTGTGTCTGTGCAGAATGAGTAAAGCATCTCCAGTTGCTGGGATCCTTCATGCTTCTCCTGCAGTGGAAATCCATTAGCCATGGGAGCCCACTGGTATAAGTGCTCATGTAGCAGCACTGAGCTGAGCATTACATTTGAAGTCTCCTGCTATTACATCTATCACTGTTCTAAGTCAGGGATTTGGCCCACTTCATACAACATGCCCCTCTGTTATGCATACACACAAATTTCTCACTGTTGTCATAATGGGGAGAAAAAAATGGCTGTAAGGGAAAAGTTCCGAGCTGAATTTGTCTCACATGAGAAGACTTTCTATCTTGCAAAAGTGTCCACACCATTCAAACCTTTCCACATTATGTCATGTTACAACTGCAAACTTTAGCATGTTGTAAATTTTATATGAGTATCATACGCAAAATAGTACATTATTGTAAAGAAAATGATGCAAGGTTACAATTTTTGCTGGTGTTTGACAAATGAAAATCTAAAAAGTGTGGCATGCTTTTGAATTCAGTCTCCCTGAGGCAATACATTTGCAGATCCACCTTCTGCAATAGAAAGCTGTATCTCTTTCTGGGGTGTGTCTGTATCATTTGGTTGGAAGCTGAAATTGTTGCTCACAGCTCAAGCTTAGTCAGGCTGGATGAAGAACAACTGATTTTTTCACACATATTGCCACAGACGATCAGTTGGATTTGAAGTCTAGATTTTGACTGGGCCATTTTGTCTGTTGAAAAGACTTTGACCCAAACTGTTATATTGCTGACAGGATTTTTGCAGTTATGCCACACTCCATTTTTAGATAAATTAAACAGTTCTCTGTGAGTTATTGAAGCTTGGAGTATTGTTTTATTACCTAACAAACCTCTGGGGGGGTTCACTGAATAGCTACTTATACTAACATTAAACGACTCACAGGTGTAGTTTGCACTGCAATTGATTTAGATGTATAAGTCAAAGTGGCTATACCCACAAAATATTTGCTCCACATTTTTAAAAATAATTTCTTATTTACACAAAACATATCATTTTCCTTTTAATTACTGACATTTACAATTACTGACAACCAGGTTAAATCATGAAAGTTTGTGAATGTAACGTCTACAGGGGTGAAAAAGTTCAAGTGACGTGAAGAACTACATTGTTGGTGTAGCCTACAGTGACCAGATGCTCATTGCTTGTGCTTTACCTCTTCCTCCTCCAGGTTACATAGGGATTGTGAACCGCAGCCAGAAGGACATTGATGGGAACAAGGACATCATGGCAGCCCTGGAATCAGAGAGAGATTTCTTTATGTCCCATCCAGCCTACAAACACATTGCTGAACGCATGGGGACCCCATATTTACAAAGGATACTCAACCAGGTTAACGTCAATTCCCGCATGCCTACTTGGGATCAGAAACGCGTTGCACTTGAGCATTGACAGTACTTGTTTGCAGCAACTGACAAACCACATCCGGGAAGCGCTGCCGGCCTTTCGCAGCCACCTACAGAGCCAGCTTCTGGCCTTGAATAGAAAGGCTGAAGAATACAGGAAGTTCAGTCCAGACGACGCTTCACGCAGGACCAAGACGCTGCTACAGTCAGTCGCTCTTTGTGTTTATTCTTACGTGCGCCTTCTAATTGATGCGTATGTGGATGTCCAGTGTGTTTTTCTGTCTTTAGGTTGGTTCAGCGTTTGGCTGTTGACTTTGAGAAGCTAATCGAAGGGTCCGGTGACAAAGTGGACACAGTGACACTCTCTGGAGGCGCTAGGATCAACCAAATCTTCCACGAACGCTTCCCCAATGAGCTGGTCAAGGTATGTGTGTTTGAGTTGCGCTTGGCAAGCGGCGATACAACTGTTCTCTGATGAGTTATGATCCTCAGTAGCTGTAATGTTGAATTGTAATGGTGTGATGTCCTCACCAAGATTGAGTCTGACGAGAGGAAGCTCCGCCAGGAGATCAACTATGCCATCCGAAACATACATGGAGTCAGGTGCAGTACAGAGTTCAGCCCCCTTTCCTCATTTGTAGTCTTCAGTTCCAAAATATAATTCTGTTTTTTTTTCTCCCCTCACAGGACAGGCTTGTTTACACCTGACATGGCATTTGAAGCCATAGTAAAGAAACAAATAACAAGTCTTAAAGGGCCGTGCATTAAATTCATTGACATGGTCAGTCAGGAACTGATTACGACTGTTTACCAGTGTATTAGCAAGGTATGAAAACGCTGTACTTTGCAAATGTGTTCAGACCCATTAAACTCTCTCTTTTTATAAAAATGAAAGGGAAAAAAATCTAAAAAGTGTGGTGTGCATTTGTGTTTAGCCCCCTTAACTCTGATACCTTTAAATAAAATCCAGCCCAACCCAATTGGCTTAGAAGATCACCTAAGTAATAAATGAAATCCATCCTTGTGCAGTTCAATCACAGTTTTCTGTAAAGAACTTAAGAGAACAAACACATCATGAAGACAACAGAACGCAGCAGACAGGTTAAGATTCTGGGAACATTTAATATAGTGTTAAATTAAAAAAAAATAAATTAAAAAAAGAAGAGACTCGCTCTTAAATCCATCATCAAAAAGGTAGAGAATATGGAACAACTGGAAACCTAAGAACAAATGGCTGCCCTCCGAAAACTGACAATGCAGACAGAGGGAAATTGTCAGAAGGCCCATCATTACTTTTTTGCAGCTGCAGAGATTCATAGCTAAGATGGGAAGAATCTGTTAACAGGACAGTTATTAGTCCTGTAATTCACAAATCTGAACGTTACGGAAGAGTGGCAAGAAGAAAGTCAGAAGACTCATCATTTAAAGTTTTCCGCAAGCCATACAGGGGACACATCAACCTGTGAAAGAAGGTTGTCTGGCCACATTAGACCAAAATAAAGTCTTCTGGCCTGTTTGTGTGGAGGAAAACTAAAACTAACCTGGAACACACACCGTTGCTGCAGTAAAATACAATGGAGGTTGCATTATGTTGTGGGGATACCATGTTTTCAGTTGGGATCATCTGTTTTCCTCCGATAAAAGATGATCGGAGGATGAATGGAGCTGAAAGACTTGAGACAAATGTTCTACTTTCCAGCAGTACAACATAAATCTACAGCCAGAGATACCTGAAATATTTCAAATCAAATATCAAATCCTTGCCCTCTTGTTTTAGACAAAAAATTGTTAAACAAACTTTTTTCAAAAAATTTTTCATTTTCCTTCCACTTGTCCTACTTTGGTTCAGATTGTCACATAAAATCCAGAGAAACTACATCGGGGTTTGTGTGTCATATCGCTAAAAAATAATGCGGCAGCGTTAAAGGGGTTATGAATGCGTTTGAAAGGCACTCTGCATGTCTGGTGTGCGTTCGTTGTATATTTAAAGCCGCCGCCGTATGTGATTTCCGTTCTGTTTCTTCTTCCACACAGCTCAGCGCCTTTCCCCAACTGCGAGAAGAGACGGAGAGGATTATTATCACTGAAATCCGAGAGCAGGAAAATAAATGCAGAGACCAGGTTGTTCACACACACACACTTACACAGTGCAAAGGAAAATATTTTAGGTAATTTAGCTGAAATAACAAAGTGTATAACGGCCCATTTCTCTGATTAATGTCTCCTCTGTTTAGGTCTTGTTGCTTATTGACATCCAGCTTGCCTACATAAACACCAAACACGAGGACTTTATTGGCTTCACTAAGTGAGTTGCTGAATTTGTATTATTGGGAAATAGAAGTTGAAACAAGGAGTGAGAATATCTGCTATGTATCCCTCTCAGCTCCCAGCAAGTGAACAGCCAAAGCAATATGAACTCTTCAGTACAGATTGCAAGGAACCAGGTGAGTTTTAAGCAGACTTGTTCATTTCTTGTTACTTGCCGTTTTTCACAGAAATTAAGACGGATCAAACATGCTTTTTAAAGAGATTTTCCACTGAACTACCTTGTAATATTCTATTATTTTACAGTGAATTTGGATTCATTTAATCTTTCTACGTTTTGCCACATCTAAAGCTTTATTATTATGTCGTGCGTTATTGATGGGAGTTGTTCTGTTCTGGTAGCTTCAACTTGTTTTGTATGAACTGCAGTCTTAGGTCCTGCAATGAAACCATAATTGTTTTTGAATTTTCCCAGAAATGAAGACTTTTTTTTTTTGTCCCAGTCTGCTATGATTTATTCGTAACACATTTATGCAAAAGCAGGAATAATGGAAAACACATTTCCCGTGCCTTGCATCGGGAACCTTGACGTATGAAGCTGACAGTATTTGTTCAACAGCAGCAGATTGTAACTACGGCCTGGGGAAAATTAAAAAAAAGAACGTCGTGCTCTCTTGCACAATCTATCACAGAGCTTTTACAGTAGTTAGCTTAGAAAGGATCAGCATCTACGAAAAATCCTCAAAAACGCAGTAGATAAAAAAAAAGCCGAGTTAACGTTAATGGTGGTACTTTATCTTCTGCTTTTCTACAGGGTGTGGTGTTTCGCTCGAATCGAATAGTAGGAGACAAATCTTTTTTTAGCTGTTTTTCTTTTTTTTTTTTTTCTTTTTCACTGCCGCTGTTTCTTTTGAAGATTTGTATGCCAGATTCAGGCTCCAGGGCTTCGGGGTCAGCATGCTGCTTCTGTTGAACCTTCTTCACATTTTTCTCAGTCGCAATGCCTACACTGCCCTACCGTAACGATATGCATGTGCTTGTTCTTTTCTTATTTTTAAAATATCTACAGATGTTATGCAAGGTTTTTCCTATTTGCAGGATGTATATGCCACATCATGGCATTATGTCCTGTTTCCTCTGGTTTTACTCATGGCACATCTTTCCTCTACAGTGCATTGTCTGTCACCCATGCTGAACTCTTTCTTCCTGTTTTTTTTGTTTTTCTCAGATCAGCTGGTACTCCTGTCTTTGCTTTCTACAAAGTCTTTACCTGTTTAATAAATCTTTGATTACTAAAACCTAACTGGTGGTAAAATATTCTGGGTACCATGCAATATCAGAAAACATATGTGATGCATTTTACAACTTACTAATTTGCAAAATCTTCTTTTTTCCACTTAGGTTTACTAAACTGGTTTACCGTTTTTTTTTTTGTTTTTTTTCTACCAGCAAGTTCTATTCTTTGTGTTACTGTGGGGAGAATAATCATTGAAGCTATCTGGTGTTTTTTTCAAGTAAATTTATTTCTGAAAGGGCCAGTTGACATGAAATGAAACAGATCCAGTTGTCGGGACAACCCAAGCGATACACACATACAAAGAAATCAAAAATAATTGAATAAATTAATAATAATGGGATGCAAACTCCAGAATTATGCACTCAAGTGTTAAGTTCTTTCCACTGGATTTTTTTGGTGATTGACTTGGCCACTGAGCAGCTTCATTTTCTTTAGCTGAAACCATTTAAAACTATACTCGGCTCTGTGGTCGGACTCATTATCTAGCTGAAACAAATCCACCACTGTTGTTTTATCTTCACATTCTTATCGCGAACATTTAAGTAACATTAAATCTTTCTTTAATTATATGAAAGCCTGCCATGCTAGAACTACATGCAGAAAAACAGCGATATTATAATATTCCCACCTCCAAACTTTACTGTTGTTGCAGGGTTTTTGGGGCGATGTGCAGTTATGTTCCTGCTCCATTTATGATCCATGACAGATATATCCAGAAGGTATTAAATTAACTTCTCTAAATATTTTGTAGCAAGCTACAACATATTTTTTCTTGTGCAGTGAGTTTATGTAGAAATCATTATAGTTAAATACAAAGCTTATAGTTTTTATGGAAAAACTGTAACTGCTGAGTCCAGGTTTTTATGAAGCTCTCTGCCATAGGCAGCTCTCTTTACAGCTATTCTAACTATTCTTTTTGACTGTATGAAATCTCACAAGGAGAATCCAGTTGCTGCTGGTTAATGTTTTTTTTTTTTTTCACTTCTAGATTATGATCCAACATTTAGAAATTTAGAATTATGCCTACAACCTGTATCATTTGTATTTTTTTCCAAAAACAATGTTGTGATATTCTGTACTGTTAGCTATTATTATATGTTTCTTGTGAGATACTTTGATAATAAGAAGCATGTTTTTGGCACCCATTTAGATCTGAATCAACTTATGTTAGTTTGAATTTATATGATGCAGTAATTTTTTTCGAAATATTTTATTTGCTTTCAATAAGTCTTTGCATCTCATTTTCTTTTGGTTCTTTTTTCATTTTTTCCCACTTCATTACAAATGTTTTCTGAAATGTTTTTGGTGTTTTTTTTATTTATTGATTGATTGCCTGGGTTGTCACCAACATTTGGTGTGAGTCTCAGCGTGCCCACTAGAAATATATTTACAGAGGGGAAAAAACACGGAGATGGTCAATTATTATTTTCCCCGCCGTATTTCCTTTGCTTAGCGTCTCACTGCTTCCAACAAGCCAAACCTGTCAACTTTTCCACGGTGTTGTCATTGTACTTTCTCAGCTTCTTGTTCTTGGCTGATTTTCAGGTCATACAAAAGGGCTGGCTCACCATCAGTAACATTGGCATAATGAAAGGTGGAGCCAAGGAGTTTTGGTTCATCCTCTCTACAGAGAGCCTATCCTGGTACAAAGATGGAGAGGTGAGGCCCCAGATGTTCACATTTTTTTATTTTTTATTTTTTTGCATGTTCATTAAACAAGAAACCCGTTTACAGGTTTTAGAATTAAATCACAATAGTCAAACCAAAACACAGTAGTCCAGTCAGTTCACCCAAAGTTTATTAGCACACATCACAGCTCGGAGCAGTATGCTGAAGTGGTTAAGCACAGGGAATTAGACAGAGTGACGAGCTATTATTTTTGTGATCACAGCTTGAAGAGGTGGTCAAGCCATTCTGATGTCAGTGGGGCTGCCATCTGTCTGCCTGTCTGTGCCTGCTGTACAGGAGCAGAAGGTCTGCACAGCAAGTGTAGACAGGCAGACACACCACAACAGTCTCATCCGGTCACTGCTGATGACGCTGGAAGAAGGGACGGCCTGAGTATTGGGATGTCGATCAGAAAAGATGGGGGAAAAAAAGCATAGCAGCAAAGATTCCAATTAACACCCTAAAACTTAGGAAAAAATAATAGTAATGCTAATGAAATTTTACTTCATTCCTAATCGAATTTCAAATAACGTGGTTTGTTGAGCATTCACGTAGCATGCTTTTGCATATACCATGGCTGAATAGTTTGAAGACCATGTTAAATAGCTAATTAAGGTCTCTGTCTCTTCAGAAAAGTTATGACTGCATTACTTGCAGAACTTCAAGATGCTCTTGAAGTTTTTTTTTCTCTGTCCATCTAACTCTTGGCTCTCCTCTCCTGCCACCTGGACCTGCAATTGACCCCCACCATTTCACCCATTCATTCCTCCGACACCCCCAGCTTCCCCGTCTTCCTCCCAGTTTCCCCCTCGCTCGTCCCCCCTTTACTCCTCCTTTTCTTCCTCTTCTGGGAGTTCAGGCATTTGGAGCGGCTCACTTTGACACAGCTGGAGCTGCCCCAAGCCAAACTAAGATACACACACACACACACTAAGACTGAGTGGCCTGAGTTGTATACACAGCATACAGAGCACATGTTGGCTCTGATGTAAACAAAGTGGCATGCAAATAGCAGAGAAAAATATACACTCACTCAGACATACACACGGTCACTTTTCAGATAAACAGTGGATTGCTTGAACGCAGCGTTCCAGATGCAGCCCCAGGCGTACACATTGTACACACACTGTGTGTGCTAGAGAGGCCTCTGCTGGTATGACCTTACGAAGCATTTACTTATTCATAGGACATCTGCTAGGAATGATATAAATACAAGCGCCCTTTGGTCACATCAAAACAACAATGACTTGCTGCTTGCAAAACTCAGATTTGCTACCATCTGCGTCTAAGTTGCATCAATGGGTTTTGGCACTGCCGGACAAGTTCTTGGTCAACGCTCGCATCCCCTCCCCATTTTGAGGTTTATCAGCTGTTTGTGTTTGGAAGGCCTGATTACATTCTCAGTCACGCGTGTTATCACAGTAGATCAGATCCGCGGCCTTTGTGTGAACAATCCGCGCGCAGACACGCACGTACAGAGAGTTGCACAAATCAAAACTTCTGCTTCTTCTCTCGCTCGGTTCCCGCCCTCGTAACTCCCCCACCCACGCACTACCTCCACAGACATTTCTCTTTTCTTTGACTGCTGCCTTCTTTTATTTTCTCTTTTCTTGGGCCTTCGTTGCCTGTTACTCCTTCTTTACTCTGCCTCTCTCAGTCTGGCTCACCCCCTCCCCAAGTCTCCGTCCCTCCCCCCCACCTCTGTGGTTGGCAGTCTCTCTGGGACTGTGCACATTCCTGGCTGGAAAATCTGAAGCTTTGTCCAAACACCAGCGTCCAAGATCTGCCCAGAGAAATCCCACATGGCTGCTCCTATGCTGCAGACCTCCCCTTTGTGACCCTCCCCAAACCCCTCCATCTCAATCCCACCTTTTCTCCTCCCTTACTTCTCCGCAGCAAATACTCCATCTCCCATCTCTCCCACCATCCTCGTGTCAGCTAATTACAAGTATCCACACTTTTAAAAAAAAACTGCAGCTGTGCGTTGCATCTGCTTTCTGTGCATTTGTACCCTGCCTTGACCTCATACCGAGGGCCTAGAATAATAGTTCAGAGTTTAAACTGAGCAGCACACTGAGCAGACACACATTCCTGCACCCATTTCACTGCCAGGGCTCCACCAGGCATCCTGAAGAAAAACAGACGGCTCATGCCTATATACACTCAATCTAGATGCTACTCCTCTGTGTGTGTGTGAGAGAGGCCTGCTCCATATCACAAATCCTTTAGTTTCAAGGAAAAGGAGTGGACGGCTTCAAACGCCACAGCTCGGATGCACAGTACTTCGCAAACCGCCCCGATACCACAGAAGACAAATATGCACCAACATACGGTACATTCCTGCAAATAAAAGCTATGATTAAGAGCTGTTGTGTTGCATTTCAGATCCACATGCAGAAACTCAAACAAAAAGCTAAAAAAAAACCCCGAAAAGGTTGCTGTACAGTCTTGATGCAAGAGGTTTACATTTAATACTAAGGCATTATCACAATGGTAGTCACCTTAAGTCATGCAATTCTCTTTCTTTAGCTTTTACTCTCTGACTTAGACATTCCTTCTCTTTTACAGACGACAACTGAAAAATCTACAAAATCGATATCACTTGTCTTGACATTGAACTGATTTCTATGTAACAAAAATTAGAACTGAACAGACTGTTGAAAGCATTTGCACATCTTGCACAACACGACAATGCTAGACCATACAGTTGCCCGAGCAAAGACTACGTGCTAGTTGTCATGTCCTTGCAAGCAGATGCTGCTGATGTCTTGGCCGTTGATGCTCTTCCATGCACAGTCTAACCAATGTGCAGACTACTGTACACCAGAAAGATCCTGAACAGGTAGTCTGAACACTGGGATGACGGAGCAGGACCCCTTTTCTTGTTTTCTCTTCCCTCTCTCCGGCCTCGCCCCTTCCATCAGTGGTCGTCGGCTAGCTCTCCCGCCAGAAGCCAGAGGACGAGTTGGCGAAAAGTTTCCTCTATAATTCAGCTGCTTTTCCCGCTATCCGGTCTGGACGCCAGGTCGAGGGAGTAAGAGGTCTTCATGTGCATCGGACATCCACTCCAGTGGGTGTCTGTCCTGCACGGACGTTAGCGTATGTCGGGCCGGCTGTCCGCAGGACTGTGTCCCAGCTTAGTATCCAGTCTTGACGTGGCACATTCGCTCATTCAGCCAGAGATCTGCCTGTTCACTCTGGGAAGGCATAAGGAAATAAGGGGAGTGAGAGACGGAGAGAGAGTTAGGGAGGAACTTAGCAGCCATATATGGGTTGATGGAACCCATGGGGAATCAACTTTGCAGTGGTCTGGATTTTTTCGCCATTTCTTCTTCACTGCCTCCTCTGCTTTCCATGTTCCTCAAAGTTTCCTTGTATACTTTTGTAAAATTCACTTCCCTCTATCCTTCTTGTCATCCCCTATCCGTCCTCCTCCTCTCTTTTTACATCTATACTTTCTACTTCTACCCCATCAGAGCACCCTATACTCACTCCATTCCCCTCCCCTCTTTCTAAAGCGATCCCAGATGTTGCTGTACTAGCGCCAATCGCGTTCTGTCATTTTTTTTTCAATGTCTGTTACAGGAAGTGGGCCTCTTTTTAAAAAAAAAGGAAAGGGGAGAAAAGGAAGAGAGTCATAGGGTTCAGGGGAGCACTGAGAGAGGGAAGACCTAAATGTATTGTCAAATCTCCAGTACGCATGTTTGCACATCTTAACTCACAGAGCATCCAGGACAGTTAGCAGATCCTCTGCATCCTCAGCTTTCTATGGATGTCGTTATTTATTTTACAACATCCATGGCTGTTCCTATGACTAGTCTTTCTGGAAGGCCTCTTCTCCAAGGTTAGTCAGAGGGGCTGGGGAAGAATGAGGGGGAAGGGCTGCGTTTCAGGAGAAATGTTGTGTTAGAGCTTTAGTCCTGAGTAATGACTTTCACATGTGGGCCCGGCATCTTTCTTGCTTTTTTTTTTGTGCTCCCCTCCTCTCCTCCCTCCCCTCTTCACTTCGACATCATACCCTGCCTCCATACCGTCTGGTTCTCCTCACACCGGCTTCTCAACTCCTTCAGCTGTTTTCTGCCATTCAAGAGTCTCAGTGTAGAAACTTATAGACATCTCTTTGGCTCTTTTCTGCGGCGTATCTGTTGTCTCTTTTGTCTGTGAGTGAGTAACTGGGCAGCAGAAGAATTATCTCGTAAACAGTGCCTTGAAATGTGTGCTTATCTCTTTTTCTCATGTTAAAACAATAAAGTTTAATTTAGTTTATTGAGATATTATGGGATGGTTCATCACAAAGTAGTGTGGAGGGAAAATGATACATGGATATCAAACGGTTTTACTAATAGAAATCTGAAAAGGCGTGGCACCCGTTTGCTTTCAGTTTCCCAAAAAGTCAATACTTGGTAAAACCACATGAAATTATAGCTTCAGGGTTTTTTGCTGTATGTCTCAGCCAGTTTTGAACATCTCAGTGCTTTTTTTTTTTGGTCCTTTGCTGCATCTGCGTCTGTGAATGTCAGTTTTCAAGTTGCCACAGATTCTCAATTATACGTGGGCCCAGACTCAACTGTGCAGTTTTGCTACACGATTATGCTTTGATCTGATTTAGCACTGATTGTACAGAGCATCCAGAAAGCTTTTTGACGCCGCTTCACTTTTTCCACATTTTGCTATGTTACAAACCTTATTCCAAATAATTAATCTCTTTCCTCAAAATTCCACACACAAATATTTAATTATGGCAATGTGAAAAAATTTGCCAAAACAGTTCTCGATGTGTTTTGCAAATTCGTTAATAGCAGAAAATGAAGACATGACATTTGCGAAGGGAATAACACCTCATAAAGCTAAGCTGTTTCTACTGATCATCCTTGAGATATTTTCACAACCTTAAATGGTAAATTTAGTTGATTGGACTCGGTTTGGAAAAGGCACACACCTGTCTATGTAAGGTCCAACAGTTGACGGTGCAGGTCAGAGGTCAAACATCAAGTATGAAATCAAAGAAATTGTCTGTAGACCTCAGAGACAGTATTGTCTTGAAGCCCAAATCTGGGGAGGGATACAGAAAAAAAATCCTGCTGCTTTGAAGGTTCCAATGAGCTCAGTGGCCATCATTGGTTAATAAAAAAATCTTGGAACCTCCAGGACTCTTCCTAGAGCTGGTCAGCCATCTGAACTGCACAACCTGGGGAGGAGGGCCTTAGTGAGGGAGGTGACCAAGAACCTGTCAGAGCTCCAGTGTTCCTCTATGGAGAGAGAAGAACCTCCCAGAAGGATAGCCACCTGCAGCAATCCACCAGTCGGGCCTGTATGGTAGAGAGTTCAGACAAAAGACACTTCTTAATAAAGGACACATGGCAGCAACTCTGGAGTTTGGCAAAAGGCACCTGAAGGACTCAGATCATGAGACGCAAGATTCTCTGGTCTGATGAGACAAAGATTGAACTCTGGTCTGAATGCTAGGCACATCATGTTTGAAAAACAATAAACCAACCACGACTCATCCCCAGGTCAATACCATCCCACAGTGAAGCATGGTGGTGGCAGGATTATGCTACGGTAATGTTTTGTAGCCGCAGGAACTGTCAGACTAGTCTTGACCTCATTTCTCAGCAGGACAATGACCCAAAACTCATGGCCGAGATCTCAAAGGAATAATTTCAGAACTCACCTGGAGAGCCAAACCAGAATCCATACTTGAATCCGATTGAACATCTTTGGAGAGATCAGGAAGTAAAATGTCTGCACAGACATCTCCATCCAACCTGATGGAGTGTGTGAAGTAGTGCAAAGAAAAAAACTACCTACAGATAGGTGAGCTAAGCTTGCGGGATCAATTTCAAAAAGACTTCAAGCTGTAAATGCTTCCAAAATGTAGAAAAAGCTTCTGCCTAAATTTAAAACATTTTCCAACCTCAAATAGTTTACCTTTTAGATTTGTCATTTATGTAGAAACTAATAGATATCCTCTTGATAGATCCTCCCACCTGTGCTGTGGATTCCCGCAGGTGCTCCAAAGATATCTGCCTGTTTTTTATTTTTGTTTTGTTTTTTGTTTTGTTTTTGTTAATTAGTGCTCCGGCCTGTCAGGTTAGGCAGATAGTAACGTCTTTACAGGTTTGCAGTTGTGCCTCTCTTTTTTGGAGAATGGCTTGAACGATCCTCAGTTCATTGTTACAACAAGCTTTGAATTTTTCTTTACAATCTACCCCTACTTTAAATGAACTTTAATTGTGACTTCCCTGGCGTGGTCCTCGGTCTTCATGATGTTCACTATTGTTCTTTCACAATCTTCTGAGGCCTTCATTGAACATTATTTCGGCATATCAGAGTAAAAGGCGCTCGCTATAATTGCATGCTCAACCTTTCATATTTGTATTTGTAAAATAACTTTGGAAATCTAAACCTAAAGTGTCATTTTTCTGATTTACAGTTTAATACAACTTGGTGTCGGTCCATACCATAAAAACCCGAATAAAATCTGTTAAAGTTTGTGGTTCTAACATTACCCAATGTGAAATAGCTCTGCGAAAGTACTGTATAATTGAGGGGCTCTATTAATACAGTAGTCAACAAGTCCTCCTCCCCTCTCCTTGCCCTCCCGTCTCCTGGCCCTTCTCTCTTTAAGGCAGAGAGTGGGATGTATTTACTACCAGACAATTTTTTATCTTTAGCCCCCAAATGAACCTGCCTCAGTCTCTGTTGTCTCTTGCTATCAACACTAATGTTGCCTTTTTTGTGATGTCATATTTTACTCTGCGTGCCTCTGTCAAATTTTATCTTTCCACACTCTTTTCCAGGAGAAGGAGAAGAAGTACATGCTTCCTCTGGACAACTTAAAGCTCAGAGATGTGGAAAAGGGCTTCATGTCCAGCAAATTTGTTTTTGCTATCTTCAACACGGAGTTAAGGTTTGTGTGCGTGCACTTGTGCGTGCGTGTGTGTGTGTGCATGTGTGTGTCTGTGTTTGTTTGGTGAGTCAGCGTCTGAGTCAGAAATGGGAGTGCTGCTCATGTCACCTGTGTGTTCGAGTTGTCGGTGATATTTTATGAGGGTGGACAGTGTCAGGCAAGGAAAAGGAGGAGATGTTAGATTGGTAATTTGCCCTTGCACTAACCCTCTTTCATTCAGCTTCGCCACTTTAACTAAAAGCATTTGCATTTGGGTACTAGAGTACGTCCCAGGCTGTTAAGGGGAAGATTTTATGAGTGTGAAAAAGGGAGAAAAAAGTGAAAGCAGTTGAGAAATGAGAGCAGTGTTTAGGAGCTGGAGCTGACCCAAAGCCTGGCTTGATTGTACAAAAGCATATGGGCTTTGTCTATAATTCCGTTCAGCCCTGTGATTCGGACGCAGAAAAACCCCCCAAAGTTTGAAGGTGGCCGCAGGCGTTTGAGCATTTGTGTACGCGTCTTCGCAAAGAATGCGCCTGTGGACCGCAGCATACCGACGGCAGGCTCATTAAGCAGCTAATCAAAGCCAGAGAGCTTGGATCAGAGATGAGGCTGCTCATGTTTGGAAAGAATTGCTCGACTCACCACAAAAAGGAGAGCGGGGTGTGGGGGGGAGAAGAATTGGAAGAGCAGAGAGAAGAAAGAAGGCAGGAGAGAGAGTATCAGAGCCATCAGCCAGGAATGTGTCAGAGTCTGTCCTGTGGCGCCCCCCCCCCGCCCCAACCCCCTCCACACACACACGCGCGCGCACGCACACTCCCCACCTCTTTCTGAGACCTCATGCTCTCTGTTTCTCTTTCTGTGTTTGTGTGTGTGGAGGGGGGCAGACATAGCAGTTGCTTTGTCCCTACATGACAGTAATCAAAAACCTCAGGAAACTTTAAATCTGAGGCGGTTGTGGCTCTGCAAAAATTCCCAAAGCGAGTGAGTGAAAAAGAAAAAAAAAAATTCAAAAAAATAAAAACCTCCCAGTGCTCATGAGCAGAGCAGAGGCTAGTAAAGATAACAAGAGTGAAATCATGATGTACGTGATAAATCAGACTAGAGAACATTTATAGTATGTGTACGGATGTTAGTGTCTTTCTTGTAGCATAGTAGCGGTCCAGTATTGTCATGGTTGGCCTAACTCCCTCTCCGTTAGGCCACCACACCCTGACATATTAGCCTCACCCATCATAGACCAGTTATAAGCCCACAAACTGAAAGACCATTTCCTGATCTTTCTATAAAACTCTCTCTTTTTGGGGGTTTATTTCTTTGGTACAGCCTTCCCAGTTTCTTGTCTTTATTCCTGCTGTTTTTTTACACAAAGGTTTCGCATTTTTGAGGTTCATTGCTGCATGTTCCGAATGTGAGAGAGGAACAACAAAACAACTGGGCGATTAAAGAAAAATGTTTAACAGATGGGCCACGGCCCCGCTCCGCGGCCTGAAGTTGTGTCTTACTTCACCGTGCTGGCTCCACAGCCGCTGCACAGAGACGGTAATGCCGACTGAAGTGGGTGGGATGTTTAAGACCAACGGCTAAGGGAAAGATGAGCTTTAAAAGTGGGAAGGTGCATGATGGAAATAACAGCAAAAGGTTTTCAAGCAAATTTATGGGGGCTGAAATTCAGAAATCGTCCTTGAATGTTTGCACGAGGGGCCGTTGCCGGTATCAAGGTGTTGCAAGGATTTAATACATTTAAGAAACACAAAACCTTTTACACGATACCGTTCCCACGGTTTAAAGTCCTTGTAATGAGACGCCACAGAAAGAATGAGTGAGTGAGTGAGTGAGTGCGGTTTTTCCCCAACTTACAGGAAAGCAGTGCCGATCAGCTGGCAGAAAGAAGACTCCCACGTTTTGCCCTCACTCACAAGAAAAAAAATCATTCATGGTGTGTAAACTAAAAGAGCCCCACTTATCACTCCTATTATGGAGAGTGCTTCTTTTATTTAACGCTCTAGTATTTGGAGTTTTCTTGCTTAGACTTGACTTTATTCATTTTTTTAAACATATTAACAACATGCAAAATGACTTGTTTTTTTTTTTTTTTTTTTTTTTTTTAAACACTAAAGTCGTAGCTCTTGTATATCTTCTCAACCCTAAAACTAAGCCCTTCCTATCTTTGGTTAACATTTATTTTTTCAAGAGTCTGGTCTCTAAGGGAACATCGAGAAAAATGCCGCAAAAACGGATCGCACGGTAAATGCACTCCAAAGTAAAAAGAAATACCGAAACTTTAAGTTATTTCCAAGTGTTTGGTAGGCATCGTAATTTTTATCTCGTTAGGATACATGTGCTATGTCTGTAAAGCAGTTGACTGCAGGCTACATACCCAAGCGATAGCCCAATCCTGTAACCATCTACTTTCAGTTCATCATACTCACACTGCCATGCAGAGAGTAAAACAGTTAGAATTTTCTGCATAATAAGCACTTTAAAAATCACATTCAGTTTTGGGGGATGCTTCTTCAATATTTTTCCAATAGTTTATTCATCAAAATCAGATTACCATATAATAGTGTTATCATAGCTGTAACAGTCAAATCATGCTATTTTAGCAGCAGTAGGAATAATTAGTGCTTCCTGACACAACCGGTTTGCACAGATTGTGTAAAATGTTTTTTTCTCTGTCTTCTTCTGCATCAGCTTCTCTTTACACTTGATTTGACTGTAGCCCGTGCTTCATGTAAATCTGCTGAATACAGCCCAACCACAGAAATATTTTCTGCTTTTTTTTTTTTTTTTATTATTTTTATTTTTTACAAGAAGCTGTTCTCCCGCTGCGGTTCCCATATTGAAGCTGACCCAGCTTCGGTTTACACAGAACAATCATGCTGCGGTAATCATTACAGCAACAGTCATTCAAAGGGAACACGGGGGAGGCCAGCCCGACCGTCACGAGTCTTCACGCCGTAAATTGGATTGGTCGTAAACATCGTTCAGTATTTTGTTCGACTGATATGTTTCTGATGACTCGATAATAGTTTTTCCTTACCCATTGAGACCGATGGCTGAAATCTCAAAAACTTATTAGCATAGGGAGCAATATTTACAACACACTTAGGACATAGATGTTCTGGTGACATTTACTGTGTCTGACACGGGAAGCAGCGACGGTCGTGATCATTTTAATACAAATACACCTCAATCTGTTGGAATGTGTCTTCCAGTGACGGTTGTTGTCTCAGTAAAACTACATTTTTGTATTTACCTCCCTGATCAATTAGAGCCACATTTTCAGCTACAAGTGTTTAGGGGAACGTTGCAGATCTAGAAGTGACCCATTCTTCCTTGAACATAGCTCAATCTCAGTCAGAGTGGATAGAGAGCATTTGGAAGCACTAATTTTCGAACCTTTTCAAAGATTCTCGATTGGATTTAACCCCAGGTTTTGACTGGGCCATTTTAACACATCGATATGCTTTGATCGAAGTGATTCAGTTGAATCACTTCGATTGAAGTGATTCAATTGAAGCTTTGGCTGAATGTTTAGGTTGTCCTGCTGGAAGATGAACCTCTGCCTCAGCTTCAAGTCTTACGAAGTCTGTTTCTGTCTCTCTTTCTCTCTCTCTCTCTCTCTTTCTCTCTCTCTCTCTTTCTGCAAAACTCAAAGTGGGACTTCTCGTACGTTTCTTTTGACGTCAGCTTTCACAGAAGCAGATTTATGGAGTGCACCACTAATTCAATTCAGATCAAATTGATTTAATTGAGGACAGCACATTAAACAGTGTTACATGTGAAAAGCAGAGCAACCGTTGTTTGGTGCGTAGGTTTTAATAGGTGTCGTGAACCTTTTAACTGCTTCACTGATTAATGTTCTTCTTGCCCAACTTATTGTTATTGGTGGATGTTTGTGTCTTGCTAGGTTTGCACTTGAAGCATTTTCCATTTTCAAATGATAAACTGAACAATTTTCTGTGAGTTGTTTCATAAACTATCCCTACTAACTGCTGTGTGTTTTGGTCTTTATGACGCTGTTCTCTGATGTTCTCTGACAAACGTCTGAGGCCTTCACAGAACAGCAGGATTTAAACAGATATTACATTGCACACAGATGGACTCTATTTACTGATCAGGTGACTTTAAGGCCAAACGTAGTACTGGAATTTATTTAGGGGCATGACAATAAGGGAGGCTGAAAATAAATTCACACTTTTCTGATTTTTGTTTGTAAAAAAAGAAAAAAGTTAAACCTTTATATATTTTTTTCTCCTTCTACTCCACAAATAGGCATTGCATTTTGTTGGCTTATCACATGAAATCCCATAAAATGAAATATACCTCAGCGTGTGGTTGTAACATGTAAACAAAAAATGAAAGGTATAAATGATTTTCTCCCAGCCAGTGTTTACAATTTTTAGAGATTTTGAAATATCTGTCTGTTTCTGTGTGTGTGTGGGGGGGGATTTTTTTTCTCCACTTCTAACATTATTATAATGAATTGCAGAAACGTGTACAAGGACTACAAATGCTTGGAGTTGGCCTGTAACTCTCAGGAGGAGCTGGACAGCTGGAAGGCATCTCTGCTGCGGGCCGGAGTCTACCCCGAGAGAGACGCCGTCAGTACTTTAACCCCCGATTTAGCCTAAATAAATCAAAGCCTGACCTTTGACGCACCACCTGCATGCACCGCACCTTTGTGTCCCATGCACCCCATTGCCTTTGCTAACCTTAAACCCGAGGAACAACCCTGCAGCCCTCTCTCTCCATGCTCCCCCTTTACTCCCCCCCACTTTGCCAAAGTGAAAAAGTGAGCCCTCCACCCCTTCCATCCCGCTCTGTCGTTGGCTCTTTAGCCCGCATTCTTGGTCAGTGATGTCACTGCAACATGTGTGTGTGTGTGTGTGTGTGTGTGTTTGTGTGTGTGAGAGAGAGAGACAGAGAGAGAGAGAGAGCGTGTGTGTTCTAGTCTGTTTCTAATCAGCAGCTCTCCAACCCTTACCAGTTCAACTTTTTTTTCTTTTCTCTTCTCCCCCTCCTCTCTCCCTCCATCTTTTTTGTTCCCCCCCATTCTTGTCTCTTGTTCTTTTTCTGTCAACTGTGTTTCTTCTCGACTCCCTACATGACACAACGTTGCACTGCGTACACATTTATGAGTAACTTTATCCCCGCACTATCTCACGCTGTGCTATGTGTTGTCAGTATGTCAGGTATACTGAATGGTTTCCTGTATCACACAGGCAGAGGAGCAGGAAAACGGAGCTCAGACCTTCACAGACCCTCAGCTGGAGAGGCAGGTGGAGACCATCCGCAACCTGGTTGACTCCTACATGAGCATCATCTATAAGACCGTGAGGGATCTGATGCCAAAGACCATTATGCACCTCATGATCAATAGTGTAAGCTCTTTAGGCCGCACTGTTGAATCGTTTGTCATTCGTGCTTTCCACCATATGAAATTTTAAAATTCGGAGCCAGATTTGCTTTGCCTCCTCGGTTAAGGCTCGTCACATCAGTGTCCGGTCCCTTTGTGCAGGTGAAGGAGTTCATTAGCTCCGAGCTCCTGGCTCAGCTCTACGCTCTGGGGGAATGCTCGGCTCTGATGGATGAGTCACCGGAGCAGAAGCAACACCGCGAGGAAGTGCTCCGTAAACACTCTGCCCTGAAGGAGGCGCTCACCGTCATCGGAGAGATCTCCACCTCTACCTTCACCACCCCGCTTCCTCCACCCGTAGACTCTTCCTGGATACAGCACCAAAGGTACAAATTTGATGGGTTTAGAGGCTCTTGCAGCTGCTGAAATGTCAGGTTTTTATGATGTAAAAAAAAGAAAATTAAACTTTGTTAACCTATTGTAGATTTCTTCCACATATGGGACATAAATCCAAAAGACAAAGCACCTTCTTCGAGAAAGAAAAAGGAAAAGTTGCAATAATCTTGCGTATAAGTGAACACTTTATTAAAGCAGCTTTTGATTTCTGAATGCAGTTAGAGTGAAACCGGTGAGCAGGAAATAAATTTAAGCGTTCTAAGTAGAAATTTCATTCCTTTTACGTCTTTGCATCCTTTAGCCAAAGTGAATCTTAAAGAAATCTCATTGTGCAATGGTATCAGTCAGGACAAGGGTAAAACAAAACTGACTGCATCACATGTAGACCATGGCACTGAGAAGATAACCACTAATAAATGAGAGACAACAACACAGACAAAAAAAAAAAAAAAAGACATTTCAGAAAATGAGAGAAACTCACCAGAGAGGCTGAGAAGACAAAGAAAAGGCCTGCAGAAACTTCTTAACAAGTACCGGTTGTGTTGTACATGTGACACCAATCTCCTGCACTTCGTGTTTCTGGACAAGACGGCATTCTTTTCTTCCAAAGTGACCAAAACAAAGCTGAACTTTTACGCCACAGTTCTAAAAAGTAAATTTGGCAAAAAAAAAAAAAAGGGATGTATGCTTGGTCTCACAACGAGACCAAACATACATCCAAATAAACAAAAGAATGACTTCGTTTGGTTTGAAAATGGTCTAGCCAAAGTCCAGAGCTAATTTCACTGAGAAATTTGTAGGGTTACCTAAAGAGTGCTGTGGACAAGAGATGTTCCTACAATCTGATGGACTTGGACAAAACTTCAGGTCAAGACAGAAGCATGAGTACTGATACTGACCCAAAAGGTTTTTTTAACAAAGGGTGTGCATACGTTTACAGCCAGCTTAATGCTGATTGTTTTTTGTTTTTTTTCCCATCCTAAGAGACCTAATTCTATTTAGGGGGTGGGGGGGGGGAGTTTGAGAAAGTTTATCATAGTTTTGATTTTTACATCACAAAAGCCTGGAATGTCAGCAGGATGCTATGGATACAGGAAACAAGGGGGTGAAAGTTAAGTTATTTGAGGTTCTCTTCTCCCTCCAGCTCAACACACCCCAAAAACTCGGCGACCGCTGGCAGGCCGGTGATCCGGGGCCACGCTCCGCCTGCTCCTAGTGTAAATCCCTCTGGACCCAACTCTTCCTCAGACGGTCTCCAGCAGCTCACCGGTCAACACAACCGCGTCACGACCAGTGTCCCAAGGTGACTTCGAAACAGAGAAATCCTAACCCCAAAACGCGACTCTTTGTATCACGTTGACCCGAAGGCCTCGAAAGATCTGGATATTTAGGCACGCACTCTGCGCAAGTACACAATCACCAGCTACTCTGCAGAGGCACAGGGGCAGAGACTTGATATTTGAGCTGGGTGGGGGTCTGCTGGAAAATGTGTTTCTCATATTCACCCCCCCTTCCCAACAGCCTCAGTAGACAGGACTTTTCTTCTTGCAGCTTTCTACCAGAGCCAGAAACAACAGGCTGAGTTCTTAGTCAAGTTTTCATCTTTACATCAGTCATTCATCTCCCCCCATTTTCCCCTTTTCCTCAAGCATGCATTTGTTTTATGGCCGTTCAGAGTTTCCCCTCATGCAGTAACAATTATTTTTCCGTTCCTCCATATGCCGTTTTCTGGTGCTTTTTCTTCATTTCTTTTCGCTGGTTCCTCCCCTGCTTTTGGCGTGGCTCTTCTTTTTCGCTCTGCCTCATTTCCTCTGTGCTCTCCAATGGTTCCTTAGGTGCTTTCGTGCACTCAGTCTTTCTGTAACTGCCTCTTGCAACCACACTAACCTCTCTTTAGGATTCTCTACATTCACATTGTAGTGTTTCTGGAATTATGAGCAAATAGAAATAAGTCTCGCAAAAGTATTCATAGCCTTTGAACTTTTATGTGTTTTGTCTGCAACGAACGTTTGAAGCCTTCAGAAGGAAAATGGCTGCGCTTGCTTTTTTAAAAGTGGTTTCAGAGTAAAAGGGACCGAGTGCAAAATGGATGACAAGCTTTTCATATTTTATTTGAACAAACATTTTGAAAACGTATACCCTTTTCCGACCAATTAGGTTTATTTCATGTTGGTCTTTTGCAAGATTGAGGTTAAAATGCGAGATAATCTGGAACAGGTTCACTTCGCCATGCCCTGCATGCACAGAAACCGCTCTGGCCAAAGACTGTCCAAACTATGTCCCTCACATGATTTCTCTCAAACATACTCCTCGTCGTCCAACCCTACAGTGATATATTGTGTCTGATCTTCCCTCCAGGAGGCAACCCCCAGCAATCCCAGGTGTGAAATAGGTCCGTTCCGCAGAGCTCCCTTCCAGCTCTCGTTGACCACTACCAAGAAACGCCCATGACCTGCATGATGTATAATCCGGCTGAAGCACTTTTCCTGGGCTTCTTTCCTTCTCCGCTGGGAACTGATGTCTGCAAAATTCACTCCGTCCTGAGCCTGTTTTGTATATAATGTGTCTGCCCATTAAAAGCTGGAATGTGTGTGGCTGTCTGCTGATTCTTCTCAAGTGCCTCAACTATGTATTATATAAACAATATGCTTGAAATTATTCTAATGCAGAAGAATACAAATGTATTGTTCTCACTACTGTTGTTTGTGAATAAAAATGAGTTTATTTTCCGTATGTTTTGTTGCTTGAAAAAGCCCCAGGATGGGTAAAAAAAAATAAATAAAAATATTCACAATCATTGTTAGTTATTTTTGGTTTTCAAAATATGTTTACGTTACTGGACATTTTCAGCCATGCATCCTTTAGCGGTGTCACCACCAGGAGAGGGTCAGAGTTCCTTTTGTGTGGGTTGAAAGTTTGTACTATTAGGAAGTCTGCCGCCTTTTTTTCGCCAACTGCTTAATCTGATGGCACATCCCCTCAAGAACAGCTTCTTGTCTCAGAAATCCTTGTGGCTAACAAAAGAAAATACCCAGAATATAATTTGCTGTCCTTTTTTTCCAGCTCCATAAGCAAAACTTGCAGCCACTTGTTAATTTACTTGAAGATGGGTGGACTTTTTTAAGGTAAAGTTAATCTAATACAGAAGCACAGGCTTGTTTAGCCTACAAATTCCAGATTCTATTGAAAATCTTATTTTCAGAATTTGTGTTTCTTGAAAAAGAACATTTTCAAATGTTAAGCAGAATACTTTTATTGTTTGTTTATTGGCAGAATATTTCTAAGTAATGAAAATATGTTCAACATGGAGTGTGACCTTTCGGCAAAAATAAAACTCAATTAACTGGCATTCAGCTACAAAAAGAAAAGAAAAACATGCAATGTTTAAAACGATGTTTATGTCAATGTTGTGTGTGTGTGTGTGTGTGTGTGTGTGTGTGTGTGTGTGTATTTGTTCAACTTTCCATGCGAGTAGCTAAATTACCCAAGAGTTTCATCTTTTAAAACAGTCTAAATTTTGAATCTTTCCTGCTCATTCTGATTGGTTTGATATTTGAAACCATGGCGGAATTTAGAATCCTTGTTAAGAATCCGGCATTTTCACCATAGCAACAGCATCACAACGCTTAAATTCCGTTATGACTTTTGTTTTTTTCTGACTTCCATGGCTATTAGGACTATTGAGCTATTTTCTTGATACTCCCCCTTTTTTTTTTTTTTTTTTTTTTTTTTGTCCTCAAAACACTTTTTTTTTTTCAGTAAAAAAACTTTTTTGTTCCTCTTAG